TTTTGTGTTGTAGTCATTATGTGAAAAGGGATTCAATTAATGCATTGAAATTAAATCCATTGAACCAAAACAGACTCCTGTAAGATTTATTTTAAACTTGAATCTAACTTCTTGGTAAATATAATTATGATTGTTTTTTAAAATATTTTTTATTTAAATATATTTAAATAATATTTTTTTATTTTTAAAAATTATTTTTAATATCGACACATTAAAATATCTAAAACTATAAAAAATTATATTAATTTAAAGTAAATTAAAAATTATTTTTTTAAAAAAATGCTTTTAAAACACAAAAAATGAAAACAAAAATCTCGTTTTACTTAATTTTATTTCATCGGGATTGTTTTTTTTTTTTTTCTTTAAGCTGCCGGGGAGAAATTTGAATGCCATCTATCCCATTTTAATTGGTTGAGAAATTTGAGAATTAAATTAATAAATTTGACATTGATGATTGATTTATGGAAGGGTTGATTTGTCGCGAATCTAAAACATTAGGGACCCAATAATGCATTTTTAGAACAACGAGGTTCAATATGATAGAAATCGAAACTACAAGGATCTTCTCGGCCATAATGTCATTAATCCGGGAGATGAACATTTAGTAGCTATGTACATGGTACGTACAGAGCATGGCTAGCCGGTACGTGGCATGCAATCTAGCTTACCTGGCTAAAGCTTTTGAATTTTTAATTTTTTTCGATAATTATTTATAACCAGATATTTTTTTATTGCGAAAAAAATATTTATTAGTATTTGTTTTGTTTTAATTTTAATTTTATTTAATATATTTTTTAATTTAATCCCTAAACATGTATCATTTCCCGTAGATAAAACTGCCACGAGTACAATGCGCACCTCAGTACTTGACAACCTCTGCTGCACTTTGCCAAGTTTCGACCTTCCTGCTGTAAAATATAATTTGAATAAAGTCAAAGTATCAGAATGATTAATTTTTTTTAGAGTAACGTGAGTATTCAGGTCAGTTTGCACGTATTATAATTAATTTTATTTTTTAATTAAAATAATTAACTTTTTAAGCAGCACAATACTATTATGATGGTAGTTATTGCTTAAATAATTTTTTATATTAAAATATATATTAATAATTTTTTATTTTTTAAAAATTATTTTTAATATCAGCATATCAAAACGATTCAAAATATATAAATTATATTAAATTTTAATAAAAACAAAAAAAAAATAATTTTTCAAAACAACATAAGTTGAACAATTATTAAATGTGTTCACATTTTTTTTTCTCATTTTAGTTTCACATTGAGGGAAAGGCATACCAAAATAAATTCTTATCATTTTAGTGGTATTTAGAAATATATTAAAATAATATTTTTATTATTTTTAATATTAGTACATTAAAATGATGTAAAAATAAAAATATTTAATTTTTTTAATAACATTTTTGTGCATTCAAAGTGTTGGATTTGGATCTCATGGATACTTCCATGAGTAAGGGAGCAGACAATTGAATTTTCCTAGGCGTAGAAATAATTTTTCCATGCATTTTAACGTGAAAGTTACTTTGTACCTTGTTAACGTGAAACAAAAAAATGCATATTAATATTAATTCGAAGGTGGAAATTTACCTTTGCGTGTGGAAATAACCATTCTTACCTTTTTCTGTTCCTTGCAGTTTCCGCTTCATGGTTTTTATGCACACACATCTGGGAGCTCCATGTTCAGGCGTCGGTCCGGGTCTGGACTCGGACATCACTGGCTAATTGCCGTTTTAAAAATATATATATTTTTAAATAATTTTAATGTATATCACTAGCTAATTGCCGTTTTATATATATATTTTTAATGTATTAATATCAAAATTAGAAAAGTAACTTTAATATATCTTTAAAAAGATATTTTTGAAAAGTATCTTAACTGCAATATTAAATACAAATTAAACATGGCTGACCTTGGATAATCTTATTTTTTAATTTAATTTTTATATATTTTTTAAATAATATTATTTTTATTTTAAAAAAATTAAAATATCTTGAATGTACTCTGATAAATTTACCAACAAATGTCTTGAATGTACTCTGATAAATTTACCAACCAAGTTTCATACAAAGTCGAGGGCAGATCGGAATTAATAACTTCCGTTGAAAGTAATGATTAATGCTTGGTGTGACGTGGAAGACTAAAGTAAATATTGTCCCCCTCTTAGCTTTTGAAATTATGATTGTACCTGTTATATAATGCTTGTATGCTTGGCAAGCAAAAACATAGAGCACAGCAAACGTGAAAGAATTAAGAGAGCTTTTGCCATGAGTGGCATTTGTTTTTCTTTTATTATCGGTTTTGGTATGGACAATCTATGCAAAATCAAGAAGGGACTACTTTGAAAGAATATTATCGGTTTTGGTATAAAATAAATATTCTCAAGACTTGCAAATGCTTCAACTACAGGAAAAACATGTTTGAATCAAGTATAAAAAAAAATTTATTGTAAAATAATCTAACCAAAACTTGTTAGTTTGAATTATTTTTTATTTAAAAAAATTAATTTAGTTATTTTTTTAATAAAAATCAAATCAAACTAAAAATGATTACCTTTATAAAAAACAATGAATAATACTAAAAATCAGAAATATAATTATAAAAAAACTTTTAAAAAAATACATACTATCTTAAAAAGGGACTAATTTAACATCTTTATGTATTCTAGAGGTTTTTATAGTTATATTTTTTAATATTTAACATTACTTTAAAAACAATATCAAGGATGGTAATTTTATTTATTAAAAAGGAGAGGTTCGAATTTGAAATTTATGAAAGAAGGAGAAAAACTAATATCAGCTGATTTACAGCATATTAATTGCTAAAATTCCTTAATTTACAATTATATTTTTTACTGACCAATGTGAAAAAAAAAATGTTTGATTGGTGTAGATTTCTTCAAGCCTGATCATGAGAAGTAAAATTCTCGCGAATCCTTTGGTTTCGGTATTAACAATTTGCCTTTGGTGAGGAAAAAAAATTAGAACATTTTGGGCTAGAAAATAAATAAAAAGGTGAAAAAACACTTGGCTTGACGGTTCAATAGGTCATGGGGTCGAACGGTTCATCTAGCACGTTCAACTGGTAAATTTAGCTCATCTCAAAATCCAAGACCATAAATTGCGTATCAGGTTTCTCTTTGACCAATTTCTTGGCTCGATTTCTATTTTCCATAAAAATACATTTCAAAATTTGATGCTAATAATATTAATCCCCCATTTGGAAAAGCTCAATCATGTAGTTTTTTTTTATAAAAATATTTTAATATTGATATATCTAGACAATATAAAAACACTATAAAAATACCTAAAAGAAACCTCTGCTACACAGCAATAACAGGCTATTTATAATTTACACAACATTTTTGTTTTTTTTTTTTATAAAAAGTCTCAAAATCCAGAAGCGAGGATGTACTGCATCGTTGAATATCAGCACCCCCTTCAACTTCAACTTGAGGAATAGAAATTAAGGTTCAAAGAACCTAATATCTATAAACGTCCGATCAAACTTTGTCTGTGAGGTCAGTGGTTGACAGTCTTTTCGCAACATAATTACTGTAGTGGGCAGCGTTTTTTAATTAAAAATAGCACCTGTCAAAAAAATATTTGACAAATCAAACTTTATTACCTTGAGAAAAATCATAGTAAAAAGGGTTGTAATATTGAAAATAACACACATCAACAATTTATTCTTAAAAAATATAAAGTTTGGTCACAAAATCAGATCTACTGGCAAAAAGTACAAATTCCGCTTGGACTTGCTTTCTTGGTCAGACAAACCACCTTACAAGCAACTGGCGAAGAAATCACTGTTCAGAACAGCGCAACCAGGTAATTGAGCTATTCCCAATAGCGCAAACTTTGCATCTAAACCATCCCCAGTCCTGTTAACCTCAGAGCTTGGGTTGAAATTTATCTTGGGTTTGGAGTTTGTGACTGTGAGTAAAAATTATGATTCTTATATTTTAATTTAGTTATAGATTTAAAATGTAGAGAAATAAAGAAAAAGGTTGTGACTTTTTTAATTTAATAATCAAATAAAAATATAACTTTTTAACTATTATTGATCTAATACATGCAATACAAAGTTAGGTAGAAAAAATAATTAATAAAACCCTTTTCTTTTAAAAATAAAATCCACCAGATTGTGTTGTTCGGCGGCGCAAACCCTTCGACTCATTTTTTTCAAATATCTTTTTTTTGGTTAGTTTATCATTTGTTTTTGACGAGTGCTGTTTAATATATATATATAAGGCCAAGACAGAAAAACGCCTGTCATTCAAGTAAAGTCTAGTTCACTCTCATGACTGAAAAGAATGGTGCCAGCATCTAGCCTCAAGTTATCGTGACTTTACCTTTCGATACTGGAAAAATAACAGATCCTATTACGCAGTAACTCCAAGAACTAAACCTTTACGTAAAGATCATGATTTTATTTCAAATTCAGTAACAAAATCTTATTGATTTCAAGAGATTGCAGACAATCTCAGAAATCATTGAGTGCACGTAGCTTCATGAACGGCGTTCCTTGACATGAGACTCGTTACCATATGTACCCGACAGCTTCAAATGAATTGTTTTTCATGTGTGGCTTAAATCGGTGAAGACGTGCTCGAAGGCGTTAAGTTACAAAATTGTAATGCCTTTCAACACAATTCCGTAGCCTTGCACAAAAGAAAATGCTCGAAACTCTACCAAAAGGGGAAAAAGGAGAGACATTTCTGACAATCACTCTCCCTAATTTCACTACCCAGTAAAATGTCCCGACTAATTAGTTTTTTTCTTTATATAGGCGCTTTCAATGTATTTAAAGAAATTGAAATTTATTTTAAGAGAGGGATTTTATGCTTTAAAAAATATGTTTTCTTTCTTGATTAAAGAACAAATCTTCAAAATCATTTGGAAAAAAAAAAAAAACTGTTCTTTGTTAACACATGAATGGCTGGAAAATACCCTATTTTTATTGTCGGAAAAAATCTAAATCCATGAAGATGTAAAGCATATCCAATTCGGACCTCTAAGCCATGGCCGAATCACACAAACATCCGGGCATAAGTCTTTTGAGGCATAATCGAATGTGCTTTCCCAAGTACACATGATTCTCTTCGTTGTAAATACTATTAGTGAACTTTATAACAAGATTAAACAATTCGCTTCATACACAAGGAATAATTAATGGATTTCAAACACATCAAGAACACCCTAGTAAAATCATCATCCATATCTTGTTGCATTTTCTACATGGATCGAACCTATAATTTCGATCTCTTCCATGTACGTAGACAAGACACCAGTAGAGAGACCTCGATGCCTAAGTTCAATCTCACAAACTTGATCTCATACAAGGTGTTCTTAGCAAGCTGGTGATCTTATAAACCCAAGGAGATCGAAAGTACCTTGTCAGGTAGAAGATAATGCACTATGAGGGATTTGAGATGAAGAGAAGGCCAACAGAACAAGAAAGGACATGATCAAAACTGGTACAAACATGAGTACCGATGGAGGTGGTGGCAATGGTGGCAACAACAGCGGCAGCACCACAAGCAACATGGTCAAGAGAACAAGAAAGATTACTGATCTCAAACTAAAATACCTGAACATCAAACTCTTCATCATGCAATAATGCTTCATTCCAATATTGCCGGCAGCCACAGCATCAAAATGGGAATTTGGAAAAAAACTGGGGTGAGATAGGTGAGGAGAATTTGGATGGGAATTTTGAGAAAGAGAAGGGAAGGTATATATGACGTGATAGTCGTAGAGAATTGATGTAAGGCTGCGTTATCAGTACTGCGCTCTAGGTATAGGAATTTGGCAACTAGTTGTAAGTTGTATCCAATCAGTTTCAACTTTCAAGCCCTACTACTATGTCCTGGTTCAGCTAACCAGAAAATGTAGTTGTAGTTACAATTAATTACTAGTGACTACCATCAATTACCTTTCTTCTTTAAGAGAAAATATTTAATATATATACTTAATAGTAATAAATTATTGAAGGTTTAGCCATGGTAATTAATGCGTTTGTAACTAAATCACAGCATTCTCAGGCATACTTACTAATCCCGGTTTGGGATGGTCTGATTAAGAAGTTGGTCTTGAATTTCATGAATTAATTTAAATTAATTCAAATAAAAAATTAAAAAAAATATTTAAAATTTTAATATTAAATATATAAAAAAATTATGCAAATATAGATTATATATATTATAATATTATAAATAATAAAGTTTAAAAAAATATTTTAAATTTTTTTATAATATAAGATATTATGTTAAGTTTTTAAATTAAAATATTTAAATTAAAATATTTTTTTATTTCATAATGAAAAAATAAACATAATTTTTTAAAAAAATATAGAGTATATATACGAAAGTACTTCAACTTTTACATTGAAAATATATTATATTATTAATTTAAGTTGAAGTATTTAAACAAAATTTTTTTATCTCATATTAAAAAAACAAAACTTTATTATAGTGAATATAGGGTATATATACCAATGCATTTTAAATTCTACATTTAAAAAAAAAAATATTGGGACTCTTTCAGGTTCGCTCGAGTCACGGGTTAACTTGTCGAGTTGACTTGATTTTGTAGGATTATTGCCTTGACTAATTTTTTATTAAACCTGGATCAATCCAATCACCATATCGATCGGGACCCGGGTACACTCATAGGGTCGGACCTGGTTTAATAACTAAGCTTTCGGGTGGGATTCAAATTTTATACATGGTTGAAGAAAATATTTTATAAAAAAGATAATTATTTAAAAATAGATCATCAATTTTACCCTGTTTGTTTGTTAGGAAATGATTTTTTTTTTAAGTGATTTTTTTGAAAAATAAATTTTTAAAAAGTGAATTATTTTTCAATGTTTGGTAATATCATGAAAAATATTTTTTAATGTTTGATTATATTATGAAAATTACTGGAAAATAAATTGTTAATATTTTTTCAAGTTTATTAAAATAACAAGGAACATATGAAAATTACTGGAAAATAAATTTTTAATATTTTTTCAAGTTTATTAAAATAACAAGGAACAAATCTTGCAAATTAAAATGTTGAATAATAATAAAATTAAAAAAATCTAATTTCATAAATCATCTTAAATAAAATAAATACTAATCAAAATAATAGAAATCAAATCTAATTAATAAAAAAGTTAAAAAATAATGAAATTAAAAAAAATATTTAAATTATTTCAAATAAAATAAATAATAATCAGAAGAATATCACCAAAACCAATAAATAAAAAATTTTAATTAAGAAAATAATAAAAATAAATTAAATAACAATTATAAAAAATAAAAACCAAAATTGATATAAAAATCAAATTCTAAATCATAAAATTAAAAAAAATAAAAATAAAATATATAGAAATTAAAAATTTATGGATCAAATTTGATATAATCACCAACTAATATAGTATTTCTAATTTTTTAAAAAAATTTAAAAAGTGTTTTTCACTCAAAATAAAAGAAAAACATTTTCCTAAAAACCAAATTAAATTTTTTTTATTGAAATTTTTCTCTTAAAAAATAAGTTAAATTTTTTTGACCGAAAAATATTTTTCTTGACTAATTTTTTTAATAACAAGCAAACATATAAAAACTTAAAAATTAATTTATAAAAAATCATTTTTCTTAACACAAACATGACCTTAAATTTAAATTTGATTGGGAAGAAATGTAGACTTAGTGTGTAAATGCTAGCATGAGAATACTTCAATTGTTAATTGAGAGATAAAATGATCCTAATCAAGTATTTTCAACTACATGTTTTAAATAAAACTATATTATATTGTATCTGTAAAAAGAATTTTATTTAGAAAATCTGATTATAAGAAAATATAGCATTTTTTCATCCCAATCTAAGATGAATAGTGTGTTTATCTTTGTGCTTCAAAGTTCAAACCTCTTTTTAATCTAATTTTATCTTAAAAAATATTAAATTGGTATTTTTAAAATATTTTCAACAATTATCATACACTTATATAAAAAAACAAAAAAAAAACTGTAATTATAATATATTTAAAATCATAAAAATATATATTTTACAAAAACCACCATGCTCAAAATTACTAAAGAAATGAGACGGTGTTTGTCAAAATTTTATAAACATTGCCAGCAACTGTTGAAATTATTTTTGTTTCAAAGATCTTATTAAGGAAATATCTTTTACACGAGTGTTTTTAAGAGAATCTATGCTAATCAGTGTTGATCCAAGCTTAAAAGATTAGGACGAAATTGAAAAGAAATTTCGTGGAAATTTAATTACTTTCGAGGGAATTGCGTGTGGGGCATGTTAGGAGACGCACCTTTTTAGCTTTAAAAACGGGAACGATGCACTGAAACTTCTGATGTGTCCGTTTCTTTTACCTTTATTTTTTTAATTTCTAAAATTCAATGGCCGCGGATTGGTGGCTTTATGGGCAAAACAGGGGAGACTTCTCGCAGGAAATTCTCATTAAGATGTTTAGAAAATTCCACGCTAGAAGTGGTTCTAAACCTGGCCCACTCAAGTCATGTGTTTTAATTGGGTCAAGGTCATTCCAGATCGATTCTTCATTTTAGTTTTTTTTTTTATAAAATAAAATGATACTGTAAAAACAATAAATAGTTAACATGAATATAATTGAGTTCTTGATCGGTATTATTTGGTCAACCTGAATTTTTAATATGATCACTTAAATTTTTATTTTTTTAAACTTAGCTTAATTTTAGTTTTAGTTTTAATTTCAAATCAATGGAGTTCTGAACCAAATTAATAGACTACACTGAGTTTTAAAACTATATTTCGAATCATCCCAATCACTTTTACAACTCTTTCCAGCCACCATCATATTTATCATTTTATACTCAAAATCTGAATAACTGCTTAATGAGATTAATTTATAATAATTTAAGTTAACTTTAAAATAATGTTTTTTTTAGATAATATTTTAAAAAACATTTCTTTGAAATAACTTCCTTAAGCCTTACTAAGGTTTGATAAGACTAATCTTTAAATTAATCTAAAATAAAACTTAACTTGGACTACGTTATAATCAATTTACCTTGTTAATTTTTTATAATTATAATTATTCCCAGTTTCATTACCACCATTACCTATCACTATTTTATTATTAATATAATAATTATTTTATCATCATTTCACAATTATTCTTTAATATCGTTATATATATATATATATATATATATCATTTTATTCATTCGAAACCACAAATAAAAAATAATTTATTTTAATAAAAAATATTTTTCTTCATATATTTAAAAAAATATAAAAATAAATTATTTTAAAAATAAACATCCATCATAATTTTTTTTCCAGAAAAATATTTTTGGAAAAACAAACATGCCCTCCTAACGGGAAAAAATTACTAAAACTTTGCATGCACTCGTACCCTTAACGAGTTTCAAGCAAGAAGAACAAGGCCCACTACTGTTTTGAAACCCCTCCAGCCTCAAACCGCACCGGCCTCGGCCTCTTTTATCTCGACTCGTATAAGGGATTCCCTGTTTCTGTTTTTTATTTTTATTTTTTTGTCGTGCTGCCTTTTGAGTGCAATAATACATTTTGAGCCTTCATGTTTGCTTAATTGAAAGAAGTAGTCGACTAGTCGTGACTCATCATGTTCTTTAAAAGCTGTATTAATTTATGTATGGTATTGTAGTATAATATAAAATACACTGAAGTAATTAATTTCCCCTAGTTTTTAACATTAATATATTAAAATCATAAAAAATATTAAAAAAATCAATTTGATAGTTTTTTATTTAAAAAAGAAAACCGAGCTCTCATGCATGCTGGCTTCACGAAAGGACAAATGTTTACTTAAAAGGTGCATGGTTTGTCCACGTTGCTGAGGGAGTAGGCATGGTGTTTTCTTCTCCAATCTAATTAATTATTTCTTTGAAATTAAGCTCTTTCATTCGTGTCACGTAAGATAGATTGAGTGTAGAGGGGAGCTGCATGCACTTGGACGTGCAATCTATCTATAATTATAGGATACTCTTATTTTTATTGTAAAGAAATAATGAGGAATTGATTTCTTGGCTAAGGTTGTAGGAACTCTGGAATCAACCTGAGCTAGCGTGCCCATGGTTTGTTTTATAACAGTCCTTTTTACTGTGTTAAAAATGTCGGAATTCCACTAACCCAGCTACATACCATGCATTCATAAAACAGTCACTCCTCCTAACCACAGAATTCCACGAACCCAGCTAGAACCCAGCTATGTTTCTCCAAAATGCCTTTCTTTTCTTTTCTTTTTTATTATTATTATCCAAGTAGCCGGTCAGATGGGGGGGGGGGAATTCAGTTTAAAAATGAGTTTGATGACTTGTAATATACTAGCAACTGAGTTTTTTTTAAATAAATTGTTCAAGGCCCCTGCATAAGAACCTGTTTACGAGTAATTTTTGTTCTTAGTAATGGTTTTTAAAAAATGTAATATTAATGTATCAGAATTATAAAAAAAATAGAAAAATATTAATTTAATATTTTTCTTTTTTTATATAATTCTGATACATTAATATTAAAAATTAAAAAGGAAATATAAAAAATATTTTCTAAAATCACTCAACCACCACAATACTAAATATGCAGGAAGTTTGTCTGTTTTTTTCCTTAACAAATCTTTAATCTCTTACTACTATTTATTATTATTACCCATCACACTCTGTCGGAAGGAAGGCGTGGAACTGGAGGTATCAACGATAAATGCTAAAGGATTGATCGAAGTAGCGGTGAATAAGGATTAATCTGGAAAGATTTTCTTTCCAGGTATTGTTTTGTACCTTTGATGTATGAAGTTGCAATGATTTTTTTTTTTTTATCGAAGAACGTTATTTATTTTCTAAAAGAAAACTTTATTATAAGATTATTTCTTA